ACTCTACCTGGGTAACTTGCTTGATTGCCTCCAAGTTGTTGGAACTCTGGGGAAGTAACCAAGCCAACCCTTGGCCCTTCTGAACGGCTGGATCCCCCTCTTTTCCACTTCCGTTAGCAGCCAAGACGAGCATCTCGGTCGGCGCTCACATCTTACTGCGAAATACTGACTGCAAAAATGGATACTTCGCACTTCGACGGGTTCACATTGTTCACGAGAATGACAAGGCAGCAGGTCTATTCGGCAGGAAATGCCAATGGCACAAGAAACATGGGATATGGCCCAACGGTCAAGGTTCCTGTCCGCCCCCCACAGTCCAATGCCCAGTCGAATAAATTCGCCATTATGGGCATTTACTCCGACGACGACATCGACATCAACCTGGGCGATACAGGATGCCTTGAATACAAACCCTGCGATCCGTACAATGACCACCCCTTCCCCTCTCTCTGTCTGCACACCCTCACCCCAGCTCGCAAGGATATCCGCAGCCAGTGATAGTCAGCCTCGCACCCTCCCCGCGCCCTCGCTGTTGAAGTCTCCCTTTCTGGTGGAACCAGCCACCATAACTGTGATTGGAGCGCAATGTTGTGTGTTGAATGAGTTCCATTTTGTCCTTCGCCGCGAGCTCCCAGACTGGGAAGCGAATGTATTGTATAGAGGGAGGCCTGGCGGGTTGAACTGGTCTTTGATTAACCATGCCATCGAGATTCCGCTTGGCGTATATTCATCTTCTTCAATGCCATCATTGCTTTTCAAGAAGGAGGAAGGTTAGAAGACTTCCGTCCGCATGGCGCAAAGAGAGACTGGATTGTCCGGCGTTGGAGTTGGCATATGAGGTATGAGAGGTATTCACCCAAGTGTCCCCAGGCAAAACGGGTTTCTTTTCAGGCGGCTATCACTGCAAAACAAGAATCCACTTCAGTGGCCAAGACCTTTTGAAGTCTCAGCTTCCAAAGTTGTCTGTAGGTGCGAACGCGGCGGATAAAAAAACCCTGGTCGCGGGGCAATCGGCTCCGACGGAGAGAGTACATACATCTTGAGCGTATGTATGTATGTATGTTGTATATACATACATACATATAACATTATACATAGGTATGTATGTATATCCACTGTAATACGGAGCTGGCCCAGTGCCCCCAGTTCTTATAAGAGCACTTGACACTGTCTAGGGCAGACCAGGAGTTCGGACATCTTCATCCACGTTTTTCTTTGTCGCTCTGGCTGCCTTATTGTATCACTGGGGATACCCACAAACCGAAATACCGATTACTTGTCCATTCCAGCTTTCTCGCGAGGGTCTGAATTGAACGTCACTTGGTTGGGGATGAAGGAATGCGGCTTGACAAGTACCGATACATAGACGCCAACACGCATAGCAGCTTGGAGATATGACACGCTCGCAGCAGCGTCAAAATCAACGTTTTGCCAGTAGTATAATATTTCTCCCGTCCCTGGTCAATGATTGAGTCGCCCACCCCGGCAGGCCAGAAAACAAAAAAGTTTAATACCAGAAAAGGGCTGTAATAGTGGCCAGCCAGCGGACACGGCCTGCAGTCTGAGAATTGCCACAATTTCGGCACGGACATGATGGTAAAAGAGCGAGCTACGCAGCCACTCGCGCACGTTGCAGCAACGCCCAAGGCCCGGTCGACATCGACTCAGGAGGGAGGAAGAGAGCAATACTCGATCAAATGGGTGGAGAGCGATTGCTCGAAGCACCTGAGCACCCTGTACGCCCCTCCGCCACAATGTTGTCGGGCTTTGCTGAAGCCGGCCGGGGGGACTCCAAAATGTCACAGGACCACATGTGCAGTTGACCTCCCAGAAGCCAGCAGACTGGTAGAAGGGTTGTATGGCTGTACAATGGTATTAGGTCAACGTAGCACTTGAGTATGGCTGTCTGGTCGTATCGTAGGTGCTTGGGTACCTAGGTAGGTAGTTACAGGGGTGCAGGGGCCGGCCATCCTGGTTCGTCTGGCTCCGTGAGCAGGGAACCACAGGGAGCCACAGGGAGCCACAAGAGCCACAGAGCCACAGGGGGCAGGAAACTAATCAATGATATTTCTCCCAGGAATCAGCACTCAGCAAGAGCGGACACTGAGGGTCTCTGTTGTTGCTGGCCCCAGCAGGCCCCACCATCCTCTTTGTGCGCCCACCCCGTTGGATCGCTGCAGCCACCCCCGCGTGAGCGTTCTGTAAGCGCTGGCACCATGCACTGCAAGCCCTTTCAGTGCTCCAGGGTTGAGGGCTACAGTGACCTCACAGGGCTCACAGGGCTCTTTCTCCTCCGGCAGCACCTGACCAGATCTTCAATGTTGTCAAGTCAAGGTTGCTACCGTCCACCTCACCTCCTCTATCGCCTCATCGGTGTCCCCGTCTGGAACAGTCACCAGTCACCAGTCGCAGTGAGGATGCAGGTCTTGCTCTGTCTTGATTTTTTCCTTCTCGGCGAAGTTTTTTTTTCTCTTTCCTTTTTGCATTCTTCCTGATACGCCGCCTCCCTACCTTTTCCTTGTTTTTTCTATGCTTTACCCTCTGGCTGATGTCATTGTTGAACGACTGACCGAGTCATTCATTGGTTCCATGTCCCAGAGGGCCTCAAGACAGTGACAAATGACCAAGCAGGGCTGAAGATCTCGCGCTTGTGGTTTACACCTCGCCCACGAATACAGGCCGCATTAATTTTGGCTGCCACCGCCTTGACCTCACCTTCCATTGTCATCACCGTCATCATGACTTTCCTTCCATAGTATCCGCAGCAGCAGCAGCAGCAGCAACAAACAACACCAATAGCATATCATCATCATCATCATGATGGCCATCATCATTAACATTCATCATACACATCATCAACAACATAAAGGTCACTGAATAAACGGCGTCACTCATCACCCACTGATTTGTAGCATGTTCCGGATTGAGCCAGCTTCTCTTTTCGTAGCGTGCCAACCCGCGTGCCTCGTCCAGCTCGCCGGATCGCCATCAAGTGCCATTTGCATCTTCTCTGCCTCTCATCAGGTTCGCGCTACGACGGAAATAACCCGATTTTTCGCCTCACACCCCCTCCCCTGTCCACACACAATACCGCTGCTTCCATCTCGAACGGAGCAGTATTGTGTAATAGGCAAATCCCACGAGAGACGAAAAGCCCACCACTCCAGAGTCCTCCCGCTGGTCCCAATCACTGGGTTCCATCCGTTGTTCTGATTGTGTGGTTCCCCCACGTCTGTCTGTCGTGGTTTTCCGTGGCCCCGACATGATGTTCATGTGTTGTTCATGTTTGATGTGTTTGGTGGTCCAGCCCTTCGCAGCCTGCATCTGTCGTCGGCCCGTACATGTAATCTTTGCCTCTGCCAAGTCGGCCGCCCGATTTCTCTCTCTCTTTGCCATCCATTACAAATGCATTGATTGACCTCTGCATTCAAAATTCTCGCCTGCCCGTGCTATCATCGATTCACAGTTGACTTAATTTTCTTGGAGACACGGAGCCGTAACACCAGACTTGGCTCGCATAGGAGGACTCTTGTGTCCGTCCGTCCTGTCTGCGCGAGGCCTCAAGAGCGCGCATCCCGTGCTTGCACGCCGTGTCTGGTTGAGGCCGTGTCTTTGATTGGCACCAGCATAATTTGGCCGTCACTTGCCCTTGAGCATTTGCCGTCGGGTCGCTGACTGAGTACTATCTGGAGTCGGCCCACCGTCTTCTTGTCCTGTCTTATCCCAAGCAGCCTCTGGTGCACAAGCTCCGAGGGCCGCGCCCAATTGCTCCGCTTGTCTTCTTCATTACTCAAGGTCCCCGTTGTTCATTATTTTTGCCTCGCCAGCGCACCAGACCGTATCAAATTTCTTCGGGTCCCGCATCGCGCTGCTGCACAACAATAACAACAATTATCGCTGCCTCGGCCGCTGCCACACATTCTCATTTTTCGAGCACGCACGCAACTTGCAACTAGGCAACAGACGCACAGGAAAGCGCACCAGACCAGTGCCCTCCCGGCCTCCTGCCCGCTTCACGCCTGAAGCATCGCGCCTCCAGCTTTAAGCCTCAAGCCTTGCGGCCGAAGCTTGCCCTGCGATCTGTGGTTTTCTGACGTGAATTGCGCATCTCAGCGGTTTTGCGCATTTTCCCGAGTCGACCTCGGGCTGTTTTTCACCCTGACTGACTCTCTGCTGCGGTCAGAGTTCATCGCCGAAGACAATCTGTTGCGTTCACACCCCCCCTCCAGTCCCAGCAAAGTCCTAGCAGGTCCCAGCAGGTCCCATCTCGAGTCAGGCGCTAGGCTCAGTTGGAATTGGGCGCTCGGCAGAGTCCACAATCGATACTGCACTATATTAGTGTCGCGCTCCGCAATCTGGTTCAAAGCCATCTTAGCCCCTCGACTTTATCCTCTGATCGTGGGCGACTGTGTGCAAACATCCTTGGAACCCCCGTCCCCAGCGACAGAGATCCGTCTCAAAAGTACTCGGTCTTGTTCCTGGTGTCATCAATCAACCTTTGGGAAATAGACTATAAACCTCCATTTTGGCCGCTTGCACGGGCGCCATCCCCAAGTACCAGTACAATTACGGACTTGCACTGCTGCCGCCATTGTCCATCAGCCTGCCACCAGGAACCGTCATCTAACCCACCACGGGGTATATACATACGCCATATATCCGCCTGAACAGGGATCACTTTTATCCTCATCAACTCTCCCCTCTTTCGTCCTTCAACTTGCTACTTGCAACATTTACTCTTCTTTCTCTGGGCTGTCAATCTCGTCCTCACTCAGACGCCAGCCGGACACTCGGAAAGTGAACGGCCCATCCGTCGATTTATACATCGCCTCGCGGAATCGCTCCCTCCCGGTTGCTACTTTGTCTTTTATTTTTCGCCCCTCTCTACCAGCATAGACAAGTCTGGTGTTGGCCGATTGGCACATCTTGGAGCTTCTTTGCGGCACTTGAACTTGACTGACTTGGCGACTCTACGCAACCTCCGGACTAGTCGTACCTCTATGGACCGACCTGTTCACGACTACTCGCAGACAGGTTTGCCCTCGCCCTACCCAAGCAGCTTCGGCGACAATCATTCTGAAGGTTCGGCTGCAGATCACGCGTCAGGTGCGCAGTATCCCGTCAAGCAAGAAGTCAGCTATCCGACCTCGGCGACACCTACGTCTGAGTACGGCGTGTACCCTCAGTCCTCGCGATCAGGAACCTTCCAGGAGCATATCCAGCGTTCATACCATCCAGCGACCGGCACCGGCAGCGGAGGTATGGCGCAGCAACAAAACAGTCCGTCATTTACCCAGCAGGATGGGCGAAACCATCAAGCCCATACCGTTCATTCTGACACCGGAGTGCCTATAGACCCGTCCATTGCGGCACCTAGCCCGACTTACCCTTACGGCCAACATTCACCATACGGTACAAATCCAGACATGACGCACAATTACTCCCATACAAACAGTGGCATATATGCGCAGCCTCGTCCCGACTGGACGGGTTACTCTCAGCATAGTCAAATTGCGTCTGGGCACCCTGTGTACTCGCCCTCTCAGGCCTCACAGCAGGCTCAACAAAGGCCAAATCAGGTAAGTTTTAGAATGGAACAACTTTTGCATGGCTTCCTCCGCGATGTTGGTCGCCTAGTCTGGAAAAGAACTTGGCGTGGCTGCGATCGAGTCGTCACCGAATATAGTGTTGAACTCTATTTTTGGCCCCTCGCCACAGCACAGCGCAGCAATGGACTAGCCTCCAGCCCGCCCCTTTTCGGAAAGGACCGCCAGACAACGTAATCTATGTCACATATGGCTAACATGACTGGCTTTTGAGGTTTACTCGTTTGTGCCAATTCCTGGAGCGCAGCAGCACAAGCGCCCCCGCCGACGATATGAAGAAATTGAGCGCATGTACAAGTGTGGTTGGAATGGCTGCGAAAAGGCTTACGGCACGCTGAACCACTTGAATGCTCACGTCACCATGCAATCCCACGGGCAGAAACGAACCCCTGAAGGTACTTTGGCCTACAACCAACCCGACTGACTTGCATGCTAACCTTTCATTTTCAGAATTCAAGGAGATCCGCAAGGAATGGAAACAGCGCAAGAAGGAGGAAGAGGCACAGCGTAAGGCTGAGGAAGAGCGACACCGTGCCGCTGCTGCCGCCGCACAAGCGCACAACGGTGGACCAGACCAAGGCCCTGATGTTCCTCCAACTTCAACCTACCCAGGCTCTCGACCTGTTCAGCTGCCTCCTATTGGTTATCAACCAAATCAGTATCCAGCTCCTCCGTCAGGAGCAGTCCCCCAACAGCAGCTTGCAGACTATGGTGCCGGCCACATGTACCCAAACTACCAGCCTCATTCGCCATACGGCCAGCCTACCCAAAGCATGTACAACCAGTGTAAGTCGAAAATGATGACATGGGATTAAAATCGGGAGGGATACTGACATGCACTCGCAGCTAATGGCGGCCCTCCTGGAAGTCATTAGGGTGGCGTGTTCTTGGTGACCGAAGGCAAGTGGCTGTTACCTGGGGTACCAACAGACCGGAATCATGACTTGTAAAATACTGGGCCACTGTACGAATCCGCATATTTCTCTCAACTCATAATTGCCATGATTGGCGGGAAACTCTCTCCTTGGCCTAGTTGCCTCCGTAGGAGGACACCAGTTCAAGCAATGGCGGTGGAGCGGCTCTCGGCGTTCAGATTTTTCGAAGAAAAGGGCGGACGGGTCGGATATACCCTCAACAGGACTCTCGACTGTTGTACGTTTTGTATTGGGGTGAAGAGCTCTCATGGTTTGTCTTTGGACACACATATATTTAGCCTCAAGAGGCTTTCAGCCTTCCATAATGGTTGGAGTTTGTCCCTTATTGAATTCTTTTTAACCGTTTTCTTATTGCATACTTTCCTTTAGTGTTTTTTGTTTTCTTATTTCTTACTCTTATGGTACTTGCCCATTTTCTCCCATTAGTATGACGTTGATTGGTTTTCTCATTCGCCATGACGCAACTTTTGATTTTCGCGATTATTTCCTGGGGAAATGGCTGGGTGGGCGGGTGGAGAAAGGTTGAGTTAACTTTTGCATTGTTTTATGGTGCATGGGAGGTAGAGGGCATTATTTCACGAGACTACGGTGGTCAATTTGATTACCTGGCGCATTAGGGATGTTAGGATATGAAAAGATGGCGTGATGAAGCGAAACCTCTTCTTTTGTGGAGGGTATACCTTCTGTGCCGCAAGGCAATTCTGGGAGGAGAGTCTTTATAAGAAGATGAAGTAATGCGTGCCGACACAGACTCTGACGCAGAGGACTAACGATGACGGTGCAATACCCGGTTTTTAGACCGATGATGACGTTAACCTTAATGAAGTGGCGGAATGAGAGAAAGAGAAAAGAGACAGAGAGAAGAAGAAGAGGAAGAGGTGGCAGCCTGTTCCCCATGTATTTGCTACTATAATGGCAATGCCAGAAGTACAGGAATCACGTTGGACGAAAACGCACCAAGATATATGATGGTAGTGCGGGATGGAGCAGAAGCGAAGACGAGATGGACATGTTCATAATTGCAAACTAATGTTTTTCACTAAAAAGAGCGTACAAATATACATTTTGCAGAGACGCTCCTACACTTGGTACGTGCTGGGGTAGCTTGTGATGAAGAATGCATGTCATGACACCAAGGTTACATACAATTCGTCTCTGTAAAAACAAACATGAGAGAAGCACGCGCGTCGTTTGCGTCGTCCGGCTAGCTGTCCAATGCACAGCGAGTGAGCTGCAGGGAAATTTGACCGAGATGACGACGGCAGTCAGAAGCTAGTTTGCGAGTGGCGGTGGATTCGAGGAGTTGGGTGGTGGTGGTTGTCATTGTCGTTGTCGTCGTCGTCGTCGTCGTCGGTCTTCGCGATCCACCTCCTTGGCACTGGGGAGTTTCGGAAGACAAAAAGCAAGCCACCCCACGCGGCTGCGGTGACGACGCAACCATGTCCCGTGATTCATATTAGTAGATCGATCTCAGGTCCCAGGGCAGCGGTCGTGGTGTCACAAGGAGAAGAGGCTT